TTTTTAGTTCGTGTGTGTTTATTTGTTGAAGTGCACCGGCTCGGTTAACAAATACTGCATGTGCCCAATTATTTATTTATTTATTTTATTTATTTATGTACGACGAGGACGATAACGACGATGTTCATGTCGATGACGATCTGCATGATGATGATGATGTTGTTTTTTATATTGAAGTTGTTCATAATGTTTATCGGTAAATAAATTTTGAATTTCAATTTCATATGTTTCTTTTTTTGATATATCCTTTATCCCAACATGTAATGTACGTTGATGAGTCATAGGTGAGGTTGAGAAGTTAACAGCTGTAATTGGAATTCGATGTTGTCGAAGAATACGTTTTATATTTCGAATCTTAAATCGTTTATCGATGTTTCGACGTTGAATTTCATTTCGATAATATCGTATACGTTGTTTACGAGTGCATGTACGATTATGTATTTTACGTTTTTCTTCTTCTGTTAGTTGTTGAGTACGTTGTTTAGATTTAATATTAGGTTCAATAGATGATGTTTGTTGAAGTTGTTGTTCATTATTATCATCTGACATTTGTTCATCATAATGTGTTGATGATTCCATAGGTTCATTATCATGAAGTGATGGTATTTGAAATTCATAATGTGTTGCAAATGTTGTTGTGGATGAAGTTATTTTGAGTTGTTGTTCGTCAATTAATTCTTGTTCATTTTGTTCATTGGTATTAAATAATATTAATTCTAAATTATTATTTGTTGTTGGTTCGATTGTTAATGATTGTGATGATTGTTGGTTAATTATATCCGTAGAAATAAGAAGTTGATACATTGTATCACAATCATTTGCAGCATAGTCAGTTATTAATTGACGATATTCTAATTCTTTAGAATTTAATCGAACTAATTTTGGGTCTAAACCAATGTCAAATGTTGAACATGTATGACGTTTGTCTAACCATTTGTGTAATTCATATGCTGTTGCCGCTTGTATGGACCACGGGTTGTTTTCTTGTATACCAATGCATGCTTCACATATACATGTTTGAGTAGTTGTTGATGATGTTTGTATATGTGGATGATGTTTATACCAATATAATTTGAATTCATTTTGTAAATTAATATTGTGTGATAATGTAATTTGGTCAGATGAGAATAAATTAAATTCAGTAAATTTTGTTAGTTCATCAATCACACCCCATACATAAATTGTATTTTTCGGTTGAAATAATGATTCAAATAGTTGTTGAATTAAATAAAAAGTTGGAACATGTGGTCTTGGTAAATGATGAACTTCAATAATTAATATATATGAATTTAATTCACGTGTAATGATTTGTATTTGAATAAGTGCTGGTTTATTGGGTTTTTTGTATACAGTTATAGATTCTGTATCGATGGTAAATAATGTACATGAATTAATAAGTTTAGTTAATTGAATTAATGTTTTCTCTGCTGTTCTATAATTAATAAAAATTAATTCATATGGTGATGGTTCAAATGGTGGATAATTTGAAGCATAATAATGTTCATTAAGTTTTTTTCGATATACTTGTTTAATATTTCTTCGAGCTTGTCCAGTTATTGAGTTCGGAATGTTGTTGTATTTCCATAATGTATCTTCGTATTCTTTTTTTGATAACATGACTACAATAAAAAAATAATGTTGTATATTAAACATCGATTCTTTCGAGAATGAATCTTAAGGTATTGAATAATCTATCTGGTTCTTATGAAAAAAAAAATCAGAATCTAGTATGTCAATCTTAATGGAGTACGAAATATATTTCTGTTCGATTCTCAGTGCGCAGATGAGAGTCTAGTAAGAATAGATTGAATATTAATTATATCCAATAATTAAATTTCGTATAATAGAATAATAAATTATTAATAGATAGGCACCAAATTAAATATAATAGCCCTTCACAATCAGTGAGTTGGGGAAAGTCACACTCCCCGATCATGCTATGCTAAATTAAATTCAATTTAATTAATCGATCAATAAATAATTATTCCATCTGGTTTGACATATTGATATTACGGATCTCTTTAGTAGAGGTCCTGTAATTAATAAAGTCGTTCGAATATTGGTAATAACACGTCGGTTGTAACTTGACGATATAACGTTGGTTTTTTGACGTGTTGAACGATAAATGTTTTGGGTGTAATTGTTTGAATGATTCTAAATGGTCCTTCATAACGAATATCAAATTTATAACGGATGTTGAGTGTTTTCACAAGAACTAAATCACCAATATTGTATGATGGATTAGAACGATTTACATCGTATCGTTGTTGATATCGTTGTTGATTTTTTATAATATTGAGTTTAGCTTGTTCATGTAAATTTGATAAAAATTGTTGAAGTTTATTTACATGTTCAGAATCATGTGATAATGTAACATTTGTATCTTGATGATCGAATGGTAATACAGGTGATCGACCGTACATCATTTCGAATGGTATTTGTTTTGTTGAAGAATGAATTGAAGCATTGTAATTGAATGTAACGAATGGTAATTGATCATCCCAATCGGTTTTACGTAAATTTGATAAAGCTGCAATTTTTGCATCCATAGTTGAATTATATCTTTCAACTTGACCATTTGTTTGAGGATGATATGGTGTTGAATATAAATGTGTTGTTCCAATTTGTTTAATTAATTCATTCATTAGTGTTGATGTAAAATGAGTTCCGTCATCAGTAAGAATACATCGTGGAGTACCGAATTTTGAAATAATATCTTCTTTAAGAAATCTAACAACTGTTTGAGCTGTATTATCACGTACAGCTTTTGTAACGACGAATTTTGATAACACATCAGTAAGAGATATGATATATTTATTTCCACGTTGTGATGTTGGAGTAATAGGTCCATGAAAATCCATTGATACTAATTGCCATACTCCATCAGGAGGTTTAATAGGTCTTAAAGTACCAGGATTTTTTTGTCGACGAGGATTAAATTGTGCACATGGAATACATGATTTAATATAATTATTAATATCTTTGTACATTGATGGCCAAAAATAACGTTGTTTAATTTTATGTACTGTTTTATCTCTTCCAAAATGAGCACCATTTGCTGCAGTATCATGATAAATTTGTAAAATTGTTTTTCGAAAATCACCTTGTGGTACGTAAGGAACTGGAGTTTTTAATCGACGCATCAAGAGATTATTTTTCATAATATAATTTTTATAATTCTTAATGTTGTTAATAATTTTCTTTGCATATTCATCATTCTGTTGAGCTTGTATTAATTCATCAATTGTAAATGGAGTTGTGCGATTCTCTTCAGTAGAAGTATTTAGAGAATCTGATGTTAATTTTGGTGTATCGGTAATATCATTTAAAGTTTGATTTCGTAATTTCATAGCACGAGTTTGAACAGCTGCGACAATAGATGAATGATTATTAACATTTGAAATATCGGTTTGTGTTGATTTTGAAATAAGATGCGTAGTTTCATCGGGATCTTCTTCAGGATCATCGACTGGAGACCTTGATAAATAATCAGGCATTGAATTTGTTAAACCAGGAATGTATTTCACTTTGAAATCATATTCTAAAATTTTTAATCTCCATCTTTCACATCGTTTATTAATTTGTGCTTTTTTATTTAATTGTGTTAATGCTTTATGATCAGTTTCCCAAAGAAATGTAATTCCACTTAA